AAATTTTTAATAAAAAATGACTCCATTAAGGGATTAAACAAGAGTCCCTTTGCCATGAAATCAAATATTCTGATGGCTACAAATACTCCTTTAAATTACCAAACTTCCACTAGCACTCTTTCCAAGTTTTTTAGTTTCGAAGTTTTCACTTCATTTAGATTAGATCCAGTTTTGCTTTATTAAATATAAAATATTCTACCAATAGCTACTGTGTACGTAAATGAAAAACTTTTCAAGACACTGAAAAGTACACAGAGGCTAAATAATGATCAACTAAGATAAGTGATTTGTGTTAAGTAATTCTGAAATTTTACAAACCATATTTCTCCTGCAAGCCAACAGTACATCGGAAAACACCACCGAACGCAACATCTTCACCAAAAAGACATGCGGATGAATCGCTTTTCAGTGCAATATCCATTGCATTGTTGATCGATTGACATAAATTCATCTTACATGTTTCACCTGAACTTTCACATTACAAAAATGAAAATGCATTAAGATCAATGAATTATAAGTATGGCTGATTGAATTTATTTTTGCTACCTGAGCTAAAATATTTCCACAAATATTCTCTAATATGCAAATTAATTCAATCATTCAGGTTAAAAAAAAAAACAAAACAAAGCAAAACAAAACCGAATGAAGGATCTGCTTGACCGGGTACAAATTTAATGCCTGATGTATACCGTATCGGAATTTCTCTAAGATTTGTCAATGATTTCAGAATATGTCTTGTTATCGCCATCGTTTCTAACAGCTAAATGAGGAACAGCCATTATTAAATGTTATTACACTTTAATACATCACAGCACATACTGTCATTATGTTTGTTTATAATAAAACAAAAAAGTACCATCAATTGCCGGATGCCGGATTTCTCTTCAGAGCTACATTTTATAAACATTTGTTACCATGCTGTCTTCATTACCTTACAAAAGCAATCCGACAATTGAATGAGAGTGTTTGTTTTTCTAACAATTTCAATAAATATTAACAAATATATTTGTTGTGTTTGTTCTGTTGAAAAGCATGTGAAGAATGAAAACAAAGCTACACGGAGTGCAAAACGGAAACTGGCTAATGGCTAATCGGAAGCTATTCCTGACAAATCTAACTTAATATTCAACTCATAACCTTATTATTATTACTGTTAAGGATTCACTGTTTTAAAATGACGTGATTGATAGATAGTGTCATGTTGAATAGAAATGAAAAAGTCTGTTGACAAAATTGTCAAAGCGAAGAGTGAAGGATGCTTTAGAGTTGGACGGAAAAATCGACGGAGTGTTTATTGGAAGATCACGTGAGAGTGCCATTTGCTGGTTTATACAGTTTTTGTTCTGTCATTCTTCCATCTATTTGCTTACCCGAATTGAGTACAATGGCGCTCCTTACCCAATGCGCCCAAGCTGTACGTTACCATTGACAGAGCAATAATATTTATTAACTTTATCGATTAGATTTGAAAGACCTTTTTATGGTCAAATTTTGCATAAAATCACTAAAAGAGTATTATCTTTTCCTTTCAATTTTTTTCTCAATTTACTATTTATGTTCGAAAAAAAAAGAATATTTCAAAACTAAAAGATTGTTGAAAAGATTTTTTGCTTATGTAATGATAATGAGAAATGTTAAATGATAAGTAAGGCGTTAATGAGAAATGTTAAATGATAAGTTAGACGTTAATGAGAGATGTTAAATGATAAGTAAGGCGTTAATGAGAAATGTTAAATGATAAGTTCTCCATATCTAATGGAAGCTCATATTAGAATAACTCTGGCGGAAAATTTTCTCGGATGAATGGATTCATCATTTCATTAATAAATAATAGAAAATATTAGATAATTAACTCCGAAATTAAATGTCTACGTCATTAGTGGAATTCTTTTTTCATTCCATTTGCAACACTTTTGGGAAATTTAAATTTAGAGAGCGATAAGACGAGGAATCATTCAGTGTTGACAAGAATATGTATCAACATCGAAGATTTTACAGCGAAGGATACAAAGGGATCCATTCAGTTTTTAAATGAAATAACTAATAAGAATTAAATCCAAATGGTCAGCACGATAAGATTCAATTATTAGCATCGATAATAAAATAATTAATAAGAATTATGACATCGAAGCTTATCATAGTTAAAAAATTAATGAAGGAAAGAATGTTAACCATATCACTTCTTCAGGTACAGAGAAAGATAAAAACCGTTCCCACAGAATAAATCACGTTGCAATAAAGTGCAATAAAGTGCATGACGGGCATGAAATAATTCCTTCCACTTCTTCACATCTAATTGATTACTTATATGATAAGAGAGTCTTTTCAAGGAATAGCATAAAGGATGAAGAAAATATTAAGTTAAAACTGAAACGAGTAACTTAAGCTGTGCTGATGAAATTAGTAATCGTATCGTAGTAAATAATATTGAGGGCACCATAAAATTAAAGTCAACGATATATTGAAAAGACTTTCAACCGATCAACTTATTACTCACAATTTTAATTAATTCATCCTCGGCAATCGTTATTAGGCTCTAACACACTTTCACAAATGTATTTAGCAGATTTTTAGAAGTTATAATAAAAAAACTTGTCTTACTGATAGCATTTAGCAAAAAATTCAATTCATAGAAATATTATTGTTAAATTAACATAAAATTTTCAATGTAAAAATTGTTGAATTATGTCTAATGCCATTATCAATAGCTAACTTAATTTCATTTCTGCCCCCACTTTAGGATATCGATAAATAATTCTAGCAATTATTACATCTTTCGGTGCATCTTTTGTTTATTGCAAAAGTTGCTTAAATGAATGGATGATCCCGAAATTGTTTACACCTGTCTCGCAGTGCACACAAGAACTTCATTTGTTACAGCAGCATTTATCCCAATTTCTTCATCACATTACCGATCTGTCTTACTACTTAATAAATTCTCCTCCTTCTCAATCATCCCTTAACAGAAATTTAATTAACCGTATCGGAACATAATTTCGTGAGCAATGCTAAAGCATGAAATTTAAGTTTTAGCTTCTTCATCAAAATGTCGAGCTTTATTATCAATTAATTTTTAGCTAAATATGATAATAATAATTAAATATAGGAGAATGATTTTGAATTTGAGAACATACCTTTATTTATCATAAGAGATTGATTTTAAAAAGAGAAAAGCTTTTAAGTTCAAAAATATCAGCATTGTTTTATATTATTAGGCTTACACTATTACTTATTTATCGTATATTAACTGTTCTCGAGTTCTTGGCTTAATGTAAACATATGAAAATATATGTAAGAAATTTTGTTTTGATTTGTGGAACAAGAATAGTATTTATTTCACAATGCAGCAATAACTGGAAATATTAGAGACGAAGACGAATAGATGATGATAGTGCAGCAAAATTTTTATAGAATTTTATTTTAAAATGATTAAAAATTTACTACTGGTTGTTGCATAACATAGTGGAAGTAGCAATACAACTTTTTCAATGATTTCTTTTTGTCGAATTAAATAAGCAATATTAATTGAATGTGAAATTTTTAACTGTTAAAGTATAATTTGACAAAAGAAAAATCACAATTGGAATCACTTCGAGCAGAGATAAAGCATTTCTGGCAATGGACAAAAAACTTTTCTTCAAATTAGTATTGTATATTTTCGTGGTTTGAAGGATACATCCATCAAAAATATGAATTATAATAGGTATGAATAAAACCTTAACAATCAAAGTTCTTAATGAACTTATGATGAACTTTGCACTTTGAATTAGGAATGGAATTATCGGAGAAGAAGTATGAAAATGAATGAAAAATGCGAACAAATAAAGGTATGAATGGAATGGTAGAAAATCTTGTCTGAATCATACAATATTTTGAGATAGCAAATAAAAAGGGAAAAATGAGAGAGGAAAATTTTGTAAAAAATATTTGATAGAAATAGTTAGATAACACGAAGATGAGAAGTTGGTTTATGAAAACGATGAAAATTGACCACTACTGAGACTTTGGCTAATTTTTATCCTCTACTGATATATGGCCTATTTTTTCCAGGACAGTTTATTTACTTCATTATAAGCTGTAAACAACACGAATCGCTTTTATTAAATCCTATGATTTACTATAAAATAAACTTTACTTTCTCATCAAATATATTTCATCTAAAAATAAAGCAATTAAATTATTTATTATCAAATAAACAATTAACTTGCATAAACTAAAAATTAATTAAATTATTTATGGTTAATTGCAATTTTTTTGATGTTAACTTTTTAAAAATTGTGTACTTATCACGAAAAACGGATAAATTTTGATATTGAACTTTTATCCTTCCAGTATTTTGTCCGTATCGCGGCTTTTTCATTAAAAATAATAAAACAAAAATTGGTTATGTTACTGAGTGAAAGCAATAAATCTACAACAAAAAAAATAGGAAGCATTTGAGAAATTAAAAATATATAACTGAGGCATATCAGCACTGAGTTTCTAAGGTCTATTAACAAAAATTCAATCAAGTTAAATTCCCAAATGAATCGATGAATTTTAAAAAAGCATGAAAATCACTGAAAAGCAATTAATACAACTAAAGTAGACAATAAAAGATTTTTCTATCAGTAACGAATTATAGAATAAGACGAGAAGAAATTTGAATTTACTGTATTATCTTTTATTTCATTTCAAATTAATTAATGCTGGCTTTAATGGAGACGCGCTAATTTCAAATTAATTATTGTGCCTATTCTAAATTTTTTTGCTTGAAATAAATCAGATGTAAATTAAAATGAATAAAAATGAAATGCTATTAAATGTTTTTAGATTCCCAGTAACAGTAAACAGCAAATCCATATCATCGATGTTTTGAAAACGGCAGATCTAGAGTGCAGTAATTTTAATATCATCCGAAAACATTCACTTTTATTCTCACCTTTTTTAATTTTTTATATTACACAGTTAAAACTTGATATATTCAAATTCAACAGATATTGTGTACAATTTATGATGCTTTATATTTCTGATTTTCGAGTGACTGATTCCAATTTCTGTTGCTGCTGCTCGGAAATGTTGGGCTGTCCTGCTGATAACATTTTTGGGTCTAGCAATTCTGGCTTTGAGAAAAGCATCAGTTGCAGCTTTGCCGTTTCGTTTTTCAATAAAACAACTTGACTGCGAAGTTGGATGTTCTCCTGGAATTATTTCATTCAAGAATTAAAACAGAAACGATTTCTACCGAAATAAAGCAAAATATTGAAATGAACAGTACCTGTTCGAGGAAGGCTGCTCGTGCTGCAACCGCTTCTTCTTTTTGCCGTCGTGCATCTCTTGACCTCTTCGCTGCATCGTTGTTTTTTCTCCGCCGCTCATAGTAAGCTTCATCCTGAAACCATCCCCATCCTCACTATAGAAATTCGAAATGTTAATTCAAATTTTCAAAAAATAAATTTGAATTTTGATCCGAGTCCGAAATATTTGACTTTACCAGTGATTTGAATGGTTCTTTATGGATTCCCGAAAGCAACTGGTCAATGTTTTCAAATATGTCCAAATGAATTCATTGAACCAGAAGAAATTCGTATATTACAATTTATTGTCCTCTCGATGAGTAACAATGACAAAAAATGACAATAAATCATTCAACCACTGCAAGTCATTGTAGCCATCTCTAGAGAGTACCCAAATTATACCGGTTACTTTCTCTTTTTCTATTCTGTCTCTATACTACAGAATACTCATCATCTCTGTGACCGGAGCTATTATTCATAATGATGACACCATCTGTTGCCTTTATGGAATCGGTATTTTCGGTCAAAACAAAACGCTTACATATCAAACTTTGCATGATTGAGCAAATGCACTTAGCAATAAATAAAGAGATAGCTTGAAATAATCCAGGTCAATGAGGTCAATAATGAATGGACATTAGGATTAAATTCCATCTTACACTACTCATATTTACAAACTTATAAACTTACAAAGTATATCTTTTATTGCTATTGCAAAATGTCTGTTGAAGCTTGACTATCTCATCCAATATTCAGTAAATTAACATTTCTATAACTTCGCTATTCTTTCAACTCCGTAGCTTAATTTGCACCAGCAACAGCTGTCTTTCAGAGAGGAAGATAGAATAGCCTTAAGGGTCTAACTGAGGATAACCACTAATACTACGACTGTTGCGCATAGTGCGCGGCATGTCTGCATAAATAATGAGAGTAGCAGTAGCCAACAGTTGCGAGTTGTGTGTGCCTGATGGGTGATGAAAAGGACGTGCAAAGGTCATCTGCGTAATGTTGCAGACGTCGTGAGGGTTCGTTGCTTTAGCAAAACAACGACCAATGCAGCAATAGAGCCAATTTGACATTATCGGGTAAATTATACGCATAAGCAGTTGGTTTAAATGTCTGCTGGTATGCGCTTCATAAGAGCAATATTGACCTTAGACTTATTTAAAATAGCATTTAATTACAAATCTCATAGAAAAAGTTATGATAATAGTAAGAAAGAAGAGAACTGTTTATAAAATGTTTGAGTTTTTAAAGATTTCAACTGAAAAGTTCATCCATTTCAAAATTTTAAATAATGTTGACCTTTTTATCATCAGGTACCGGTGCTGCTTGTTTTCGATGTGGTGATTGTTGAGGACTGCATGATGAGGTTACTGATGAAGAGGAACAGGATGGTGGACTAGATGCTGATTGCTGTTCACGATTAGGCCGTTTAATGGGAGATGGACCGAGGTTGGGAGTAGATATGGCACTTGCAGTTGTAACGGTTGCAGACAGTAGAGGCGATATTATCGTCGCCGTTTGATAATTTGGCAAATTAGAACGGAGTTGTGAAAAAGCAAATAGGGTGGATGGATCTGGAAAGGAAAATGGACTGAAGTGTGGGAATGATGCTGGAAGAGCTGCTGCTGGCCTTGCCAATAACGAAAGGGCTGTATTTAAATCCACTGGCAAGGATGATTTTTCATTACTGAAAATATTTATCAAACTATGAAATTATTCCGGAGTATACTCTGAGTTAAGCATTAAATTAAGGCTTAATTAATGCGTAATTAACTAAACAAAATATATAAGTAATAATGTAATTTTTCGCCCTTCCAGTTCAATTTCATCACAGTATTTCTTACTTAAAATTTATTTTTCAACATAAATAAATTATGTTTTGCATTCGAAATGAAAAGAAAGAAAAATTAAATTCGATATACTTCTGTATAAGCTGTGGGCTGTGAACAGTGCTTAAAGTATTTCTTAAATGAACAGAGGCTGAGCTGTCCATTCCTTCCTTAATCGTTATCCACAAACAGTTGCGCTTAGGTAAATTCAAAAGACTGGTAAAATTCTTGGATAGGAGTGGATTAAAACTGCCGTCGATGAACAAGGAGAAATTCAGGAGCAACAACTGCAACTGATGTGGTCAGTATAGTTCGAAAACAGTAACAGAAAAGAGTATAGTAGAACTGGAGCTCGAGTCGGAACTTGACCCCGCCCCGAGTTGACCTTTCGAAAGGACCCTCCTCTATGCAACAGCCTTTATCCCTTATGTCATTTGTTGAAGAAGATGGATAACGCGCTTGAATTGCAGACGCGCCATCATTTTTGTTTGTCTCTTTTTCTTTGGTCATGAAAGGGCAACCTGTTACCTAATTTATGCTCAAAAAGGTCAAGAGATGGAGTGTGAGGTCGATCTATATGCAAATTGCATAACGTTTATTGAGTGACGAAAGAGATAAGGACGTTTGAGAGACAGTCAAACACACAAAACATCATATATCATTAAGATCATCAAGAAGAAACGTTATCGTCATTGCGCATCATCACCTTTTTGCTGGTAAATTATCACTAAGGACATTAGTGGTCATTGGAAAACCATCTGTTCAATGTAAACAATGATGTTATTAGTTGATGAAGAAATGTTTAATAATGAAAAATGAGAGTTAAAGTTGAACTTGAGGACGTTTTCTTCAACGATAAAATTTAATTCATAGTTGATCCAGTTTAGATCAATTGATTTTAACTATAATGGTAATAAATTTTGAACATATTTATACTTGCACAAAAATCTGATAATAACATTAAAATACAATAAAGTTAAATGATTACTGTGATAGAGATGAAAGGTTTCTTTCCGCTTCATATAACCACCTTTCAATATTTAACTTTTCCATCAGACATAATAGATAATATATATCAAAAATGACTCATTCAGTTAACTGAAAAAAATAATTCTTGATCTTATTGTATTAAAAAACAGGAAGTTGAAAAGGACTAATGAATTCATACATTTAGAACAATTTCGGACAATAAAATGTTGCTATTTTTGCGCTTTTGAGGGAATGTCATCTAATTTTAAACAAACGTGCAGAATATTTCACTGTTATAAACTTTTTTAAATTATCAAAAATTTTTAATTTCATACAAAAGTGGTTAGTTGTGTTTTTACAAATTGTCAAAATTCTACTTCAATTCATTTAAAAAACAAAAAAGTATATGAGATACGTGATCGTGCAATCAATCGATCAAAATCATTTCGTCTCACTTCAATAATAAAGCGATATTTTGAATTGTTGAATGAAATCTTTCAATGATATCGACTTCGGAGTACATTTTGTTTCAGCGTTGCTGACTATCTCACTGATCAAATTTATCCATTTTATTTCTGTATTGGATATTTCTTAATTTTGCTTGTATATCAGACAAGCAAAATTTTGATTATTGCATTGGGTATTTCTCTTTCCATCAAACGAATCAAACCAGAAATAATTTAAAACAAAAAATGTGGAAATTATTTAAACATTTTTCTTTTTTAAAGGTTCACTTTTATTTGTATCATTGCATTGTTCTCATCGCAGACTATATATATATCTCTAAGTGAAGCAGAGATCATCCTTTTTGTGATTGCAGCATTGGAATGATGGAAATATATGAATGATTGATGAGAAGAGAGCTTTTGTTGATAATAGCTTTGACCTTTTTCTGAAGAGGTCACGGTGACGCCGCTAAAGAGGCTTAAGAATTATTGAGGTGCATGGTAATGGTAATTCCAGGACATTGTGTGCTCTGTCTGCTAATATCTAGCAATATAACGTCACTTACCGCATCTTTATGTAAAGTGCTGCAGCAGGACGGCTTTGCTCTTACCGCCACATTCATTGCAATACTTTTTATCTAATGGATCAGAAAATATTCAGGCAGATGTTACAAAAGATAGCGTGAAATTTAGTTAATTTGAAGAGGTTTGTTTGGTGAGTTATGTACTATGGGGAGAGAATTCTTTTTTTCGTTGATGACATTGTTTAGAAATAGAAGATTGACCTCTCCAGTTAGTTTAGGGTGTACACAAGATTTCAATACACACACACACATACACACGCATACACGTGCATTACAACATGCAACTCCTGTAGTGTTTACACAAAAGGACAGAAGAGTCAATAGAATAGATCGAACTTTGTTTACACAATTTGTTTATTAATGCCGAGGCAGGTCACAATTTCGTTTTCCCCAATAACATCCCTCAAATGTAACCTTTCTAAGAGACTCTGAACTTCCTTTGCCATTCCTTTAGTTTACACAAATTGTATATCTCTTGAGAAAATTTCAAGAAATAGTATTATTCCAAGGTTCAAAGGTCATGTATTTTTTTTGGGGAAGGGAGATTTTCATTATTCTTTGCAAATGCTTACTGATGTCATGCTATTTGAAGGTATTCTCTAAATGATGCAAAGTGACTCTACTTCCAAACACATTCTCATTCATCATATAATAAAGGATTATTCCTGCAATAACCATGACTCATCATCGTTTCACTGACCTTGTACCTTAGAGGTCATCTCTTACATCCTTTTTTTTGCTTCTCCATAAAACATACCTCTCATGTATTTATTCATGCTGAATGTTATCCATTTGAATAAAATATTTATGAATATGACAATCGTCATTTTCTCAATCTTTTCTTACTATCCGAAAGTCCTTCCATTCACAGTAATCATAATTTCAACGCATAAATCATAATGATGGGCGGATAAATCATAGGATGTCAACAGAACCCGAACTATTGAGTGCAGCGGTGCAAGCTTTGATTCTCACCTGCTACAACGTTTGGCCTTCGACATTTTTTTTATTCTTGCTAAATTGAATACCCATAGGTTCATTCCTAATGGCCTACTACTACTACTACTGCTGCTGCTGTTGGCATAATTGAATTGACCCATGTATGAACGGATGGTAATGACCAACAACAACAACTTTATCAATATTTCCGATTGCATTCACTACTCATAACTTGCACTCTTCCAAGAACCTCATTATTAGATCTCATGCTGAGCACCATCACAATGCAAAAGTTTTCACAGTTTGACAATTGCAATCTGCGATCTTCCAACGTTACCGCGATAGCACTCTTTGAGTGAAATGAAAAGAATTGAAAATGTTTAGGCATACATGAATAATACAAAAGGGTGCAAAAAAGAAAAATCTATGTTAAATTTAGAAGCTTCTGCAAATGATTAAAACTTAAAAAATTGATGAAAATTCCACGGGTAATGTAGAATGTGAATTCGATTCATTGACAAATGTTCTGTAACACTTGCAAATTTATTCTTCCATTTAGCTAATATTGTTTCTTCGCACTAATTAGGGAAAAATGTGTCACAGAAAGACTTCTGTGACACATTTTGGATGATTGTTTTTACTAATTTTGTAAAAATCTGATCTTTTGTCCTAAAGCTATTTTGCTTTTTTTGTTAAAATTTTCCTAATCGGAAGCTTTGTGGTACAAAAAATGATCACATCAAACAGTACGCCATAATGGATAATGACACCTCAACAGTTTTTTTTGATGGTATTAAATGAAACAGTGAAATGAAGAACATTATTATTACTATAAATTCATTTATTATTAATATTAATACCATAATTATTATCATTGTCATCACCGCAATCACAACCATTATCATCACATTCAAAGCAGTTTGACGAATTTATTTCTTTTTAAACTACTTTTGAATCAAATAACATTCATATAGAACATACTCTGTAGTAATCAGTTAATCAATTCCTATGGTATCACAAGTTATGCCGTATTCTTTTGTTATCTAAAAATATAACTTTATTAATTTGAAAAGAAAATGTTCGTTTAAATGATAGCAATTAGATTAATTAATCTAAAAAATCTGATAACAAATTCCTAAGAAATGTGCTTCTTAATTATTATTTATCAGGCAACGAAAGATCAGTTAATGGAGTGATTAGCGTTAAAACTGATATATACTTTATTCTCTAACAGTATACTGATCGCTTTGTGAGAGCATCTTCTATATGCTCAGCAAATTTATTGGAAGACCATATGAATCATTACTGATTACAGATATCTTTTCAAACTGAGCAAAAATATATGAATAATTGAAATCTGACTGAAACCATAAGGAACGATAAGAATACAAATGATACATGCATATTTTGTTATGATTTAAGTCATTAAAATGATTCTTAATTTAAATAATTTAGAGTAAATAAAGTTAAGACTGAATTAAATTTGAAGGCTTATTTTTTGAGTTATTTTGCTAAGAGTTTGATCATTCATTAATTGTTGATAACAGGTGCAAAGTGGAAGAAAATGAATTGATATAGATGATTTTAAGCCATTCTATTTCCGATCTGAAACTAAAACTGACGTAGAAGCAACTGCTTAACTGTAACTGTTCAGTATAACTAGCATTACGCTGAATCACTTCATAATAATCATTTCACATACGTTTATTTCTTTAACGAATAATTGTATGAAGTAATACTATATGTAATACATCGTACGCTTCCAATACGATCACGTTTTATTCTAAAAATAGATCAACCAATATATATAATATCTGGACCGTAAGGTAACATAATTAGGAAATTATCAGTGATTATAAATCAACTGTTATTTCAAAAACATAATTATCAACGAAACATTCGATAAGACTTTTCCAGAAATTAGTAATGGTAGAATGTGATTGTTAATTGAGATAACTTGTGATAAATGCGCGTATATTACATGGTTCCAGCTATACTCAATCGCATAAATGTTAAGTTATCGAAATCTTCCATTTTTTCAAAAACTTTGGAAAGAAAAACTACAAAAGAAATCTTTTTATGAAAGCGCTGCATAATAAGTGCACCTACCACTCATCAGCTGAATATAATGAGTTATTGTATCGTTCTTTTGAAATGGATACATACATATATTATACTTGTTGGTTTCCATAGAATTATCATTTCTTGCTTTTAACTTCCTAACAT